AATCTAATAAAATTATATTATCTTCTAAACTTTAAGATTTTATAGATATATTTTTTTTAGTTATTTTTAATAATTTTTTTTATAAACCCTCGGACTATACTATTAATCTAAAAAATAATAAAATTCTATTATATAAATCTATTTATTTTTTATCTTAAGTTAAGCTCTAATCCTTTTATTATTATATTAATAAAAATATTTAATTAAAATAAATTTAATCTTTTAAAAGTTCTATAGAAATTTTTATTCTTTTTATGTTAAAGAAAAATAAAGACTTCTGATTATATATAAATTATAAAAAACTTAATAAGATTTTAGTTAAAAATTACTATTTTTTATTTTTAATTTTTAAAATTCTAAATAGAATTATAAAAGCTAAATATTCTTTTAAACTAGATATCTTAACTTATTATAAAATATTAGTAGTTATTTAAAATAATTAGTATAAATAGTTTATAATTTTAATAATATACCGTAACTAGCTACTAAATAGTAGCTATAAATAAGCTTTTTTTTCGAATAATAAATTACAGTAAAATTACGAAGATATTAGATATAAAAATTTCTTATTATACTAATTTTTTTATTAAATAAAAAAAATACATTAGATAAAATAACTATTATTAAATAGTTTAATTTAGATATAAGCTTATACAGCACCTGTTTTTCTGTAATCTATTATTTTTAATTAAACTACCTATAATTTCTAGTCAGAATTTTCTAATTATATTAACTTTAAATCTATTTACTCTAATATTGTTATAGCTTTTTAGAATAAATCTTTCTTTATGATATTATATATTCTTTATATATATATTTAGACTTTTTATTATTTAATATATTATAAAACTCTTTTATTTTGGCTTATAGATATGGATTTATTTTAATATTCTATTTTTCTTTAAATAGTAGTTAATGTGGAAACCAGTTTTATAAAACTAATCAAAACTTTAAAAATATTTTATATAAGTATATTTAACAGGCTTCTATCTAATAATATTAGTAGTATTTATACTAAAATAGTCAATAAAATAATTATTTTTAAAAACAGTTATAAATATTTATATTAAAATCTGAATAGTATATATCAGAAAGTACTTTTCTATTTAAGCTGTAAATAAAACAGTAAAAAATAAACTTAAATCAGAAAAAATAATAAAAATAATTAATTTTTAATAACTGTATTTAAAATATAGTATATTATATAAACTATAATAGTAATATAATAATATATAGTAGTTATAATCCTTCTAAAATTAATCTAATAGCTTTTTTTAGTTAATAAATTTTTACTAATTTTTTTAGCGGTTGCGGCTCGAATAATATATTAGTTTTTAATCTTATTATTCTATTAAAAAACTAACTTATTTTATTTTTTTAGAATTCTCTACTCGAAAAATTCTTTTAGTATAGAAAAGCTAAAAAGAGTATTATCTATAAAACCAGAATTATAAAATATAAGACTTCTAAATATATAGATTTATTATATTTTTAAAGCATAATACTAAATATTTTATTATTAGATATAGATTAGAAGTATAAAACAGCTGCTTATATTATATTCTTAGGATTTTTATTATTTTAACAAATTATTACTTAATTTATTATTTAACTTATTATAGAATATTACAAGCACGAAATAATATAAGCTGAATATTCTTCTTTATATTAAAAAAGCTAAGATTAAGTATAAAAGATTATTAGAAACTTATTTTACAATAGAGCCTCTTGCTCTTTTTTTCTACTAAAAAAATAATAAAAAAAACACTCGGGCGCTAGTATAAAAAATTAAAGAATAATAAAATAAAATTAGATGTAGTATTATCTGAATATAAAAAAGAGGTTATCTGCAGACTAGAAAATAATTATAATATATTTAAAATTTTCTAATTTAAAATTAAACTTTGGGTTTTTAATAGTTAAGAGAAGATCTTCTTTAATTAGATTATACTTAATCTATTATACTGTTAGTAGAATTATCATAGAAGTAGAATATAGTATTTATATAATAAAAGTCTTTTTAGTTCTAATTAAAAATCTTATTTCTAGTTTTAAAAAAAAAGCTTAGAACAAATTTTTATATGTAAATTAAGATTATATATATAATAAATTATTTGTTAAAAATAATTTGATTTTTTGTGGATGCAATAAGTTCATAAATAAAAACTTTAAAATCTTATAAAATAAAAACTAAATAGTCTTCTCCAATCTTATATTCTTTAGATATATTTTGTTAGTTGATAAGAAATCTAGTTAGTAGTATTAATATAGGTTTTATATCTAGAAATATATATAAACTTACTTTTTATATTTATATATTCTTTGTTTATAATTTTTTTTGTCTTGGCTGATGTTCTACCTCTAGTTCTTTTTATATTTTTCTAAATATAAGTATTAGTATTATAATCTTATTATTAATAAAGCTTACGGCAGGCTTCTTATTTTTTTAGTCTAAAATATTTTTTATACAGTAGAGTATACAGTTATTATATATACTATAAATTTAAAAAGATTAGAATTATAAGAATAAAATTTAAAAAATAAAAAGAAATTATATATAAATTAATAATAAAAAAACTAAAAGCATACCAGTAAGAAGTCTATATTTATATTAAAAAATAAAATAAAGTAAATAAATATTAGACTATTACTAACAGCTTTTTTTATTTCTCCATTTTATAAACTAAGAAATAATTATTATTTATATTAAATTATAGTTAAATAAAATTATTAGATTTTCTTCTTTATAGTATCTTTATAAAAGTAATAAGTTATTATTTTATATTCTCAGGTTTTAGCTTGTATACAGTTTAGAGGCCTGGTATTAGTTATATAAAATCTAGTTTTAATCGAACTAGAAGCTGCTCCAGAAATCTGTAATTACTTAATAAACTATCTAGTATAATCCGAGAGCGGTCGGAGCACTTGGTATATATTTAATAAAAGATTAGTAAATATACAGAAGCACAGAATAAATAGTTATATACTGTACTTATAAAAGCAGCGGTATCCGTATAAGACAAGCGGACGGGACTCGCAGCAAAACATTCCAGTAATGGTACTATTAAACTGGATTCCTGCGGAAATCGAGCTGACGCCGCTTTTTGCTTACCGAGCGGCCCGGAGTATAGAAAAAGCATCGGAGTGCATGTTTGAAGTAATTTCGAAGCGATCCCGAATTGCTTGCAAATAAACATTGAAGAAAGTAACTGTTATTTTATAAGCTTATGTGAGCTTATTAGTACTGGTTATACAATCTATTCGAACTGTATATATATAAAATTACACATTTTACTTCAACACCGCCGGAGTACCTGTGATTTTTCTGACTGTTTATAAATACTAAGTCGTATTTTGATGATTATTTGGCCCAAAACTAGACATAAACATATTTTTTGAGACTTACAAGCATTAAGGTGAAGTTTCGTCAAGCAGATTTTATGCTTTGATGATGTTTGGGTAGGCGCGCAACTGCTTTCCTACCGGTTACCAAGGGGACAAAGCAAGAAATATAAACTATATACTGATATTTCTAAGAATATCTTTTATTTTAGTAAATACCAGTTTATCTATCAGTTCCTCCCACAGTTGCTTGCGAATCTTTTTATCTTTAGACTTATATAAGATAGGCGTCCAGCTGAATATATTAGTTAGCTAAAAATCTACTTAAACTAAAAAAAATAGAATTAAATTATTTATACTGTAAGGTTGCTGTTTTTAATATACTAGTTATAGCTCTCAGGTCTGTGGTTAATAACGGCGTCGGTAAGAGTATATATATTAATAACAGGTTTTTAAATAAAAATAGTTTTTATAATATTAAAAATAAAGCTGATGAAGATACCGCGGTACTTATAAATAAGACCCGACTTGTATAAACCTAAATTAGGCCTATTAATAATAATAATAAATAAAAAAATATACTTGGTAAGTTTATAGATAAAGAACTAGTCTAAAAGCTTCGAGATAGTATAGCAATTCTTAAAAAAGAAAATCTTATTATTAAAACCAGCCAAAAAAAAATAAATATTCTGCTTTTTAAACTTCACTTATATAAAGATATTAGAGCTAATAATAGTAATATAGTTAGATTAGTACAGAAAATTCTTTGCCTGTAGTATAGAAATAAAAAAAAATTAGCAGTATAATAGAAATAAAATTAATTTAAACCGACTTTTTATTGGCTGTAAAAATATTAGATATAAAAGTTTACTTAGAGATTTCTGTATTATTAATTACTATATTTAGTTAGTTTAATATCTTAGTATACTTTATAAAGACTAGAACTAATTTATAGCTGGCTAGATTCAGCAGCTATATCTTTATCTGAACTTTACTACTATTATTTTACTATTTATAGTATTAATTTAGCAGCTGCTGCTTAATTTTCTTTTTCTTAATTATACTATAAACTATAAGAATTAGCTGGCTCAGTTCTAGCTTCAGCAGCTATTTACTATATTCTAAGTTTAGTTTAGTATTAGCTCCGATAATAATAATAGTCTGTTCTATAAGATCGACCTGCTGGCGCGAGATAGCGGGCGGTTTATTAAAAAGCTGGTATTTTAAGAATGCTTTCTGTATCGCCCGTCCTTCAATAGCAGCGGGGTAAAGTTGGACATGATAAGGCCAACTGGAAGAATTTTATATAAAAGTATGTCGACGTGGATGTAACAAGAGGGAAGAGAATATCATATAGTCAAGTATTAGTCTAGAAATGCTATGGGGAGATGTCGGCGATATAAACTGGTTAGCCCCAAACCGCGGCCGGAGTTAAGGCGGGCAAGCACTGTTTACCTCCTGCTCCCCTGTTTTGTTGTTGGGCCGTCATGCTGACGGGTGATACAGGCAGGCAACCATACAGTAGTTGATGGAATTGAGGCTAAGTGGTGTCATGGAACGTAAGCCAGTCACTCCAGTGCTTGACGCCCGCCACCCGCTCAGGATGCGGGCGACGAAGCAATAGGACCATGGGTCTTCCTAACCCAGCAGTTCTCAAAATGACGTGTCAAAGAGGGAGGAGGAAAGCTTTGGGATGGGTATGTGTGAATGTATGCAGTCGGAGGCATGGCAAGATGTACAGCCTCAGTTTCTGATATCTATATATATGTCTGCGCCTCCCTCCAGCAGCATCTCCACAAGAGCTGAGTCTCCCCCGAGATTGGCCACGTGCAGCGGGGTCTTCCCCGTGTGATCTTCGATGTTTGGTTGGGCCAGATGGGGTGCACAGTCGCACCCGATCGCTGGTGCAGACCCTGTTGAGGCGGGCCACGGGGGCCGCCGTGGACATCGATCCGATGGCGGCCCACTTTCACGGCATCTTCGGCCGGGCCTTCAATGAGGATCTTGGGATCGAGCAGGCAGTGCTGAGGCAGCCGCGTCCCAGTCACCCGCCCACCTCCGTGGATTCCTGCGCAGCATTTTCGGTGGGGTTGACGTCCGGGGGCGAGCCGGGGTTCCATGCTGCGTCGGCGTGATCGCGGAGCGCCTGCCACAGGTCGGACCCTCCCTGTTGGTGGAGGAGGAGATGCTGCCCAGTGGACTTTTTATGGTAGAGACTTCAGCCGCCATTGGTTTCCTCCCCCAGTGTGACCTGCCCAGCTCAACTGACACGACACAGTCCAAGAGTACTCCCGGACGGGTCTGCACGGCCCGATGAATTGGTACCGCACGCGCATTCTCAACGGTGAGGACGAAGTGCCTAATATCACAGTCTGTTGTCAATAGAATCTTAAGATTATTATAAAGGATGGCTTCTCTTGGGGCCCATCTCCACATTGACTAGTGGCTACCGCGTCGTCGCTCTAATAAGATCCAATTCAGTTCTCATACTCTTATACCTGATCAAGCTCGCTAATTGGAATGTTAGCTATACAGGTAACTTCTAAAGTGGCTATATCTGACCGTCATACCTCAACTATAACCTGACCGTTAACCGGCGGTCAGGTCAAGATTAAGAAATTTTCTTAACAGTTATCAACTGTTTGGAATTGCAGGATAGAATAGTCAGGTATGACAGATTGATTAACCCAGAAAAATCAATTAATAATCTTTCCAGACTTCTTATAGTAATGATCTAATGTTACGGACTCCTGCTACTTAACTCATAAGTACAATGAATACCCTTACAGCCTTACATTTATCCGGCCTACCCGATCAAACAAGCATTTCGTATCTCGGCATGCCGATCTACCCGTCCCAAATTCGTTGCACTGTTCCAGTTGCACATCTTGACCTTTACTAACAGCCAAGCTTTCTGTAACGGCTTATCTCTTATCCCACGTGACCTACTAACACCTTGAAACTCAGGCACCGAGAAAAATACCCCTCCCCGTCGCAAACCGCGGAGCTCAACCCCTCCATCTCCAATCCTCCATATCATCTCCATTCTTTTCCCCAAACAGAAAAGGAACCACAAAATGGACCCCTCGTTCCCCTCCTCCCTCGCCGCCCTCCACTTCCCCTCCTCCGAGCAGCAATCCATCAGCCAGACGCTGACGGCGCTGCGCCGCTCCGCCCTAACCGTGACCAACCGGCTGACCAGCATCGCGACGGACGCGCAGTTCGTGGCCGAGGTGCGCGACCACTACGCCCTCCCGTTGATCGCCAACGAGCGGTGCGGCAGCTGGTACATCGCGCCGCGCGACAAGACGGGCAGCGTGTACTTCAAGAGCACGGACGGACACACCGGGGTGTGGGATTTCAGCTCGCGTAGACTCAATCTGCAGGTGTTGGGCGTGGCGGGGCAGTATGGGGGGTTAGTCTACCCTCCCTTGGACTAGAGATATCGTGTTCTGGTGCAGATGGATGCTAAGACCTTCGCGGGGAGGGGTATAGATGCATAATCGTAGATTCGACGCGGCGGGGTAAATGTAAGTGCCCCTGCGTTGCCTTGCCCTTTTACCCACCCCCCTTTCCTCTACATAAGTCGAGTCAGACACTAGCATGACCACGACACCCGTCACGAGAGAATAGAGTAATGATGAAGGATAGTAATGCCCGACGCCCTGTCGAAAACAATCCCCATCTGGACGGCCGTGCTCAACCGCGCCCTCTTCCCCGACGCCCAAGCCTACCACCCCGTGCAATTCCCCCCGAACTTCCTGCCGGCCTCGGAAGAATCCCAGATCGAGCGGCGAATCGACGGCTTCGTTAGGGACTTGCTGGTTCGTCTTCTGCTTCCCTCCCCTACCTACCTCTCCTATCACCCCCCCCCCCCCCCCCCCCCCCCCCCCCCCCCCCCCCCACCCAATGAAAGTAGGGTATACTAACCCAGAAAAAAGAACCTAAACCTCTCCCTCCCCACCCTCCGCACCCAACTCGCCCGCCCCATTCGCCTCGCCTGGGCCAACAGAGCCTACTTCCACCCGACCACGCTCACTGCCTCCCCGGACGGCGAATACAACCTCTTCGTGCTGTGCTCGGCCTCAAAGCGCGTGCACGGCGCTGAGATCTCCGCCGGCGGGTACATCCAGGGCGCCGGAGACGACAGCGAGAGCTGGGCGCTGGGGCTCACGGCCCCGCTGTTCTGGGCGCACAAGGACGAGCTCCTGCGGCGGAATGAGGAGGATATTCCCGGGTTGATTGCGGAGTTGCTGGCGCGGGAGAAGGAGGGGAGGTCTCCTCCCGGTGGGCACGAGCAGGGGGCGGAAGGGAAGGCGGTGCGGATTGCTCCCACGAGGAATCTGTTTCTGGGGCGAGCGGGGGATTTTGCAGACACAAAGGGTGGGGTTGGGTTCGATCTGGTGGTGGATTGTAATGCCAGACCCGTCCAGTCTGACGCTCCGGCTGACGAGGAGACGACGGCTGCGCAAGGCAGGAGGCTGGATTTGGGCTGCGGACCGGCGAAGTTGGGCAGTCGGGATCTGCGCAAGAGCCTCGACCGCGTGCGGGAGTTCGTCAGGGAGCATCTGTTACACAACCCGGAGGCGTCGGTGCTGGTGGTGTGCGAGTCTGGCCGGGATCTGTCGGTTGGCGCCTTGTTGGCGATTCTGTGTTTGTTTTATGATGACGAGGGTGAGTTTTGTATCGGTTGCATTGTATTGATGGGTTGCATGGGGGGTTGGCTGACCATGTTTGGTGCTAGGAAACCTCACCCCCACCGAGAGGAAGAGTATCGGCAAGCAGTTCATTCGGCAGCGGTTGGCCTGGATCACCCTGTGCAAGCCGGATGCGAACCCCTCGCGCTCGACCTTGCAGTCGGTTAATGCGTTCTTGATGGAGAGGCCGGATTATTGAGGTGGACAGGAAAGGTTGGATAGAGTATCGGCAGTGCATGCGGGATAATGGATAAAACTTATACCAGGTTTCCGTTGATAAAGCTCAGGGGTATGCGACATGGAAACGATTTCTTGAATCCGTGGTGGTTGATGGTCAGCATAGCTAATTGACTTCCAAACGTATGGACTCGCTGAGTGCATCGCTGGATTGATGGTTAATGGTTGGTATAGCTGACTGACACCCTCAATGTGAGAACTTACGCGGTGGATAGATGGGTTGCGCGATGTTGATGTCGGCTGCCTTCTAGTCCAGATTCGGGAGGGGGCAGACAAACTAAACCCAGAAGCCCACACGCCCTGGGCATACATCCTGCCCAAACAAAGGATAGAACAATGAGAAAAATCCATTAAAAGCTTAATAACCCTCCCAGCCATGCAAAACCCAACTCCATCCTGAAATGCCGTAGTGAAGTCGCTATCTATGTTACAAACCCATAAAATGTACATTTAATATCCCCATGCCCAAAACACCCCCCCAATCAAGGAGCCTGCGTCAGGACATCCTCAGGCGTCTCCTCCAGCCCCTCCGCCGCCACAGGCGTGCGACCCACCGTCCCGGACCGATGCACATACATCAGAACCCTCAGCACTCCCGCAGGAGTCACGCCCTCCAGTCGCCGCGCCATCCCCACGCTCACCGGGCGAATGCGAGTCAGGACCTCGACCTCGCCCGCGCTGAGACCATGGACCGCCTTGTAGTTCATGTCCGGCGGAAGAAGCAGGTTCTCGTCCTGCAGAGCTTTGCGAGCGGCAGCCTCCTGGCGCGCGACGTGGGGCGCGTACCGACCCTCGATGGCGACACGGGTCCGGATCTCCGGGGCGAACGAGTTCGCATTGTAGACGGTGCCCGTCGGGGACTCGATGTGGGGGATCAGCGAGTCAATCCCCGTCTCCTGAAGACATAGGATGTCCATGGCGGAGCGGACAGACCCGTCGATGCGGGACGGGAAGCCAAGCCGGGCCCAGGCGGAGGACGACAGCCGGGTGTTGGTGAGCAGGGACTGCAGCTCCTGGATCTGCGCCTCCGTCTCAGTGAACTGGCGCCAGCGCGTGTCGGAGACCACGCCGGCCTCGCGGGCCATGCGCGTGAGGCGCAGGTCGGCGTTGTCCGCGCGCGTCGAGATGCGGTACTCGCTGCGCGTCGTGAACATGCGGTAGGGCTCGGAGACGCCCTTGGTGATGAGGTCGTCGATCATGATGCCGATGAACCCGTCGGAGCGGCGCAGGGTGAGCGGCTTGCGGCCCTGCGCGGACAGGCCCGCATTCGTGCCAGCGATGATACCCTGACCGGCGGCTTCCTCGTACCCCGTCGTGCCGTTGATCTGGCCGGCCAGATACAGCCCGCTGATCAGTTTGGTCTCCAGCGTCGGCCACAGGTTGCGCGGGTCGATGTAGTCGTATTCCACCCCGTAGCCTGGCTGCAGCATGGTCACGTTCTCCAGCCCATGGATCTTGCGGAGCATGGCATACTGCGCGTCGGCGGGGATGGTCATCGAGATACCGTTGGGGTAGATGACATCGTTGGGCGCGAATCCCTCCGGCTCAAGCCAGATCATGTGCCGGTCCTTGTGTCCGAAGCGGATAATCTTCGACTCCAACGAGGGACAGTAGCGCGGACCCTTGACCGTCTCGCGAATGTGAATCGTTTTGTCGAGGTTGGCCCGCACGATATCATGCACGGCTTCATTGGTGTACGTCATCCAGCAGTTGAGCTGGCCCTCATCGCCAACCTGCACCGCATCATTCAGATACGAGAAAGGCTGGGGCGGGTGATCACCCTCCTGGACCTCCAACGGCGCAAAGTCGATCGTCTTCCGATCCAACCGCGGCGGCGTCCCCGTCTTCAACCGACCGAGCTGAAACCCCGCCTCACGGAGGGACTTGCTCAGCCCAAACGTCGCCGCCTCGCCCATCCGCCCCGAGGGATACGCCTCAAGCCCGATATGAATCTCCCCGCCCAGGAACGTGCCCGTCGTGATCACCACGCGACTCGTCGCGATCACCTCGCCGGACTCCAACCGCACCCCGACAATCTTCCCCTGCGCCATTCCGGGCACATCCTCCACACCCTCCTTCGACACCACAATATCGCCCACCTTGCCCTCCACAATGCTCAGCCCCTGGGTGGAACTCAGCTCCTCCAGCATATACTTCTTGTAGAGGTCGCGGTCGATCTGCGCGCGCGGGCCCCAAACGGCGGGCCCTTTCGACCGATTCAGCGTCCGGAACATCACTCCGGCCTTGTCGATGGTACGCCCGGCCACACCGTCCATCGCGTCCACCTCGCGGATCATCGTGCCCTTGCCAATGCCGCCAAAACTCGGATTGCACGAGCAAACCCCAATATTCGAGCGCGAGGGGGTGATCAACGCCGTTCGTGCGCCGGAGCGTGCCGCCGCCGCACACGCTTCCGCGCCTGCGTGTCCGCCACCGATGACGACGACGTCGTATCCTCTACACCCAGATAAAAAGAGATTAGTATGCGAACGCAAGTGCGGGTGAACAAAATTGATCGAAAATCACCCATACCGCGCGGCATCTGTCACAGTCGCCAATCCACGAACACTCCCCACCCACCGAGACCGGGACCCCAGGCCCCATCTCCGGAGAGTTCCAGAGTTTGCCCGAAAAGCCATGGTGATGGCGTGTATCGAAAGTGGGACAGCCTGAGAAGAAATGGTGATGTGGTGCTGCGCCGGGCTTGCAAGTTTGTTGTCCCGGAAGAGAAAAAAGCGCCGCCCCCCAGTGATTATTTTGCATCACGTGTGCAGAGCTTATTGCCGCTTATCGCCGGGGGCGGTGAAGCGGTCCGTTGCGGACTCGTACCGAAGGGGTCGCCAGTTGGCTATCGACCATTATGAACAACTAAGGGGTTTACCTGAGCTGGGAGATGATGGCTTCGATGCGAATGGCAAGATGTAGATACTATTTTGCATTTTGGGACCATACAGCTGAGACGTTCACTGGGCACAGCTGAATATTTACGAAGCTTCCTAAGGAGAGTCGCTTCGAAGGGCTCACGGAGTAGAGTGGCCGTCGTGCCGTAGCGAGAACAGGCGTTCTTCTGGAGTGGGCCCGTGGGTGGGTGACTCCGACTCCGCTGGCTCGGATGAACCGCTCAATCAATCTCATACGTAACAGCCAAGGGTACTCGCAAAAAGGAGAACATTCGTAGAAAACCCTCATTCCAAAGCACCTGGTCACCCTTCGAACGGCCATTTGCTGGAGATACACACGAATAGATTAGATCTCCTGATCCAGTATCAGATCCCAAGCGCATGGCCATGAGGGATATATCCCCTCGAGAACAGTGTTTCCCCGGCGTGGCGTGCATAGTAATGGGGGCTCGCCATTGGTGAATCTGAGATCCGATCAGACCACACCAGATACGGGTCTCGGTTAGCAAGTAGAAGGGTGATTGTTCTACGACACTACAGCCCCTACAACCCCTACAACTACGCAATATCCTCCCCTGCAAAGACATCCCGTCGACGCCCCGTTGCCTGACCTTGCTCAGGATCAAGGTTTATGACAGTGTCACAGTGGTTGCAAGTGATTGCAAGTGAGCGCAAGCGAGGGCAGGGAGCATCTGACAGCGGACATTGCCGGTGGCCCGGTGAGCCACGTGACCCGGTTTGAGTGGTTTGCAGGCCGGATACCCGAAAGGAGACGAGACTGAGTTGGCCGCGCCTCAAGCAAATTGCGACCACATCCTCGTCAGCTTTTTCCCTCAAGATCCTCATATACTCCTCATTTTGCGATCCCAGTCCTTGCCAGTCCTCTCATCAGTTACCCTGAGTAGCACCAACAACCATGGCTTCCACCTCAGGTGAGTGCAAAACCCTTGTACCACAGAGATGCCAAGAACGAAGTTCATCCTCAACGTGCCCTGCGAAATCGGCGACCGCCCGCCAATTTTGCCTTTTCACCTCCCACCTCCTTCTCCCCTCCCCTGCGGAACTCTGCACCCGCTGCTTCATTTTGTATCCACGCTGCAGTCTTCATCCTGAAAGTCGAAAGTCGGTGTAACATCCTGTTCTCAAGGGTTGAACATCGACGAAATCGTTTTTTCCTTGTTCCCTCTCGGTCGTTCCTGGTTACCGTCGGGGCATCGAGTGTGACTCAGGCCTCGTTCCCCACCCATCCCAACAAATGTCTTCCTCAATGCACTCTCTCCCTTCCACCTTGACAAAAATCACCCGGCTAGCTCCTCGATCGCTATCATCGCATTCCACATCAAAAATGCCACAGCGTCTGGGAGCCAGCATGTTTCGTTCCTCTTTCCTTCGCGTTGCACACCCCCGCCCGGCGGCGCCGACCCGACCGGCCCGCTGCTTCTCAACCACACGGCGACAAGCCTGTGCTAACATGCCATCCTCCCCATCAGATCGCTTCATGTCGGCTCTGCACCAGAACAAGGACTGGGCAGCCAAGATCGCCAAGGAGGACCCTCAACTCTTCCCCACGCTCGCCGTAGGCCAGCAGCCCGAGATCCTGTGGATCGGGTGCTCCGACTCGCGGTGCCCTGAAACCACCCTGCTGGGCCTCAAGCCTGGCGACGTCTTCGTCCACCGTAACATTGCCAACGTGCTGCACGCCAGCGACCTCAGCTCGTCGGCCGTGATCGAGTACGCCGTGAAGCACCTGCGCGTCAAGCACGTGGTCGTGTGCGGCCACACCAGCTGCGGTGGGGTCGCTGCCGCCCTGGGCAACAAGCAGCTCGGCATTCTGGACCCGTGGCTCATGCCCCTGCGCCAGCTCCGCGAGCAGCACTTGAGCCTGCTCAACTCGCTTCCCACCGACGAGGCCAACCTGAAGCTCGTCGAGCTGAACGTCCACGAGGGTGTCAAGACGCTCAAGCAGAAGAGTGTCGTGCTGGATGCCATCCAGGAGCGGGGCCTGCGCGTCCACGGCTTGATCTATGATGTCGGAAGCGGTGTGCTCCGGGAGTTGGATACCGATGAGCCCGAGGAGGCCATCAAGGCGCGTCTCACTTCGTTCAAGACCGACGTCTAGACTCGGTTGCGAGTTCACATTTGGGAGGTTCGGTGTTGGTTCTTGCGCTCTGGGTTCAGAGATGGTGTCGTGGGTCGTGTCGTGTTCATTTCAGCGATAAGTGGGGTTTTGCATATTTGTTGTATTTAACTGCTCGGTTGTTTGGCGAGGGCGAGGGCGAGCGAGAAGGAATCTGTATATCTTGGGTTAATAATTCATCCAACGTTTCAACACCTGGTACTGGTGACTCACTCATCGTAGAACTATCGTAGCACTTGCATCATCAGGGAGACATCACTCCCCGTCAAAGATATGTGGCGAAGTCCTGCAGAGGGCAGCCAGCCATGACTCGTAAGACCTCACCTGGAGGATATGAGAATGAAAGACAGAACCGGGTACCGCCTGGGTGAGAGGGGAGAAGTTGAGGAGAAGAGGAGAAATGAAAATCCTGCTGCCATTGAATAGGTAATCAGGATCGGGCACCAGTGACTGGGGATTTGCAGTGAACACACACACACACACACACACACACACACACACTAGACTACTGTTCCACGACGGTCGGAAGATGGTCTCCGCACCCTTAATCATCGTTGACCACCTCCCAATCAGGCAGGCCCAGGCTACGGTGTGGAACTCGGTTGTGGTCGGAACGGGTTTAGCCCCGGCCGAAACGGCTGTTCTTCGGTAGAAGGACGATTAATACTGAGGTCAAGCTGTAGTTAGTACTCATAACTTAGTTAACTAGTTAAGTTAGTTATGCTAGGTGGTGATGACGAAGCAATGAGTACTCCTCATTAAGTATAGACAACTTATTGTTATGAGGAGTAGTTTGATGGACTTTAAGAGAATACCCCGTCTAGTTGATCTCAACTTGTAGAAATCAATACTAATACGTAGAACAAAAAGTCTAGGTCCGCTCTGATCACACATAATTCAGCACAATCATCCAACGGAGAACTGATAAAGTCTTATGCCAGGACTACATACTGTTCGCAGAACTGTAGGTTCAGGTCCAGGCATGCTCCGAGTCTGAAACTAGACATCCGCGGTTAGGAAGCTGCCAGTGGTGATCCTGGTACCAGGCGGGTCTTCTCCTACTAACTCTCCAGTCTGTCCCTATTCTATGCTTGAATGTGATTGTTTGGTTTGAATTGTTGACAGTAGACTCTTCAGCAACCGGAAATATTGTCTTGTGTTCTCTCTTAAGAGACCAATTGACTACTTTTTAATTGCCTGCGATGGCGAGCTTTGCTCCCGTCGGGCCGCGAGAAATGCTCCAAGGCTCGCCACATGTACGGTAAACGTCCACAAGCTGCTCCAATGACATATCCAAATACTCAACAATAAGTCTAACTCATGGAGCCGTCTCCGGCTCCCCCGATGGAGAAGTAGACGATTGATCCTGGACCCCATCACCGTCCTTCACAGCAACAGCAGCAGTAGTAGCAGCACCACCACCACCAGAAGAAACAGCAGGATCAGCATCAACCTTCGCCCCATCTCCCTTCCCACGACCACCATTCCCCCCCAAAACCCCCCGATAAACCTCCCCTTCCTCCCCCTTCAACCCCACCCCGGTGGGATCCCGATCCAACAAGAACCGCTGCACCTTCTCCTCGAGCCCCTTCCCCCGCTCCGCGACGACCGACTTCTCCCGGCGCCCATTCAGGAACCGCTCCGACTGCTCCGTGACCTCCCACAACCGCTCCTCATACCCACTGCTGAGTTGACTGATCCACGACGCCTGCAGCGCCCCGCCCAGCAGCGTGAGCAGCACCACAAACGAGATGAACGTCCGGTTGTCCACCATGTGCTGCTGCCGCCCTTGGTGGCGGTTGTGCCACCGCTCCCAGTCCTCCCAGGTGGCGTTGGCGAAGATGGGCCCGTAGTCCTTGGAGCCCGGGCGGGCCCACGGCGGGACCTCGTTTTCGGGGTGCTCGTCGGCGGCAGCGTGGTGGCGGTCCGGGCGGTGGACGTTCCATCCCGTGCCGAACTGGTCGTACGCTGCTCGTCGGGCGGGATCGGAGAGGAGCTCGTGCGCGGCGACGAGGAGGTGGTACCGTTGGATGCGGACCTCCGGGGTGAGGTTTTGGAGGAGGGGGTGTGGTTGATGGTTGCTGGTGCTGCCGCTGCCGCTGCTCGGGCTGCTCGGTGAGGAGCGGTCCGGGTGGTAGATTTTCACGAGTTCATAGTATCGTGTTTTCGTGTAGGGAGCTTTTCGGTCCAGATGGAAGAGGTCGTAGGGGGTGAAGGTTGGGCTTGTTGGCCATGTTAGGTCGTGAGAGTTGGGGTTGGACTTGGTGCTGCTGGTGGCGTAGCGCTGGCAATGGTGCCGCCGAGCGGGGAAGTGCGAGCAATAGCTTGCGTTCAGGAACTGTAGGCCGCTCTGGTTGAGGAGATTGGGTTTCCTGGGCATGGCCGCATGGTTTCGTAGGAGAGAAAGGACGGGATGTTCCTTCTCTCCTGCAGTGGTGGGTTGGTGGGTGTACTGTACTCTGTATATGACTGTAGTGTATGCAGTGGTAGTGGAAGAGATACAAGCACCGCGGCAAGTTCGGGGCTAGTGAGGCCCAGAGTGACGAGCACAGTCCGGTGCGGAGACCCACAGTTGACCGTCACGTGCAGCGGCATTCAACAAGCTCCGCTCATCTTCAATCTGTAAACACCTCCATCTCCTTCATTGAACACAGCAACCAATTCAACACCAATGCCAGACTCACCAGATACTCACCCGCAGAGGCGCCACCGCTCGCCCTCCGGCTCGCCCGCTCCACCTCGCGACCGCCGCGACCGCCGCGACCGAGAGCGAGAGCGAGAGCGATTCCGCGACTCCTCGCGCGACAACAAATCCCACCGCCACGACAGCCACCGCAGCTCACGCAGAGACAGCTCCCGCCGCCGCGAACAACGTCGCTCGTCGCGCAGTCCCAACGACCGTGAGCAAAGCCGCCGGGACGACGACAGCCACCGTCGCAGGGAACGAAGAGAGCGCGCAACAAGCCCCCGGGACGAGCGAGACCACGACCGAGATCGAGATCGAGACCGAGACCGCCACCGCCGTCGACACCGGGACTACGACGATGAAGACTCCTCCCACCGATCCTCGCACCGCCGCCGTCGCGATCGCGACACCAGCAAAGACAGAACCAAGCCCCCCTCTTCCTCCCGCCGACACCGCGACAGTCCCTCGCGCTCCCGCTCCCGCTCCCGCAGTCCACACACCACCACCGCCGCCCCCTCAGCCCCAATCCGCTCCTCCAAGCCCCTCCCCTCCCAACAAACCGCCTACACCACCGACCTCACCCCCTCAGACTCCCAAGCCCCGGCCGCCGAAGTCGAAAAAGAAAAACCCAACTTCGGCACGACCGGCCGCCTCGCCGCCGAAAGCAACACCGTCACCGTCCACGGCGGCGGCGGCGGCAACGGCCCCACGACCGTCGTGCTCAAATACCACGAACCGCCGGAGGCCCGCAAACCGCCGGCCAAGGACAGCTGGCGGCTGTATGTGTTCAAGGGCCGGGACCTGCTGGAGATGGTGGAGCTGAATGTCCGGAGCTGCTGGCTGGTGGGGCGGGAGCACCTCGTCGTAGATTTCCCGCTGGAGCATCCGAGCTGCTCGAAGCAGCACGCGGCGATCCAGTTTCGGTTCGTCGAGAAGAAGAACGAGTACGGGGATCGGATCGGGCGCGTCAAGCCCTACGTGATCGATCTGGAGAGCGCGAATGGGACCACGGTCAATGGGGACAGGATCCCCGCGGGCCGGTTTGTGGAGATTATGGATAAGGATGTCTTGCGGTTTGGGTTGAGTTCCAGGGAGTATGTGCTTATGTTGACGAAGCCGGAGTAACTTTGGTATGAGTTTTGGGGGGGGTCGATATAGATAAATGGTTCTGACCGATCCAGCTTTTTGGATGTTTGATGCCAGGCCTGGCGATGTCATCCCGGTTTATGCCTCCGCAGAGCCAACAAACCTATGTTTCAGGACACATCTAGTTGTCGCATTGGTCAGAGAAGCGAATACCACCAATGACATACTCATAATGGACTAGTCACTAGTCACGCGTCGTCTATTAACGCCACTACGTCAATACTGGCACCCAGTTGCGAGGTCCAAAACGCTACATAGGCAAGAAACCAATAGATAATGCCAAGCATGATAGAGAAAATATGCAATGAGCCGTCGATATTTCAGTAAACCTCCATGCCATGATCGCCATGCACTAGAAAAGAATAAAAGAATAATCATAAGTATATGAAAGTGGGTGGGGCCTCGAAACCCGGGGGGACTCAGAAAAAGACCACAATCTCTCCCCGCTCGTTCATCTTGAGGCGCAAAGTGCGCCACAGTTCCTTCTCGTCATCGACTCTCCGCTCGCGGTCTGCGCGACTGCGACCCTGGTCGCGGCCCCGGTCGGCGTCGAATTCATCGGTGAAGTCCTTGTGGAACCGCTTCAGCACCTTGTTCACGGAGAACCCGCGCGAGCTCTCGGGGCCCTTGGTCACCAGCGACAGGAAGTGGCTCGCCATCTGCCGTTGCAAGCCATCCGGGACCGTGCTCTTGGGGTACAGCGTCACCTGCCGGCCGTCCTCATCGTGGTGCGATTCGGGGTACTCGATCTGCTTCTGACGGCGCGAGGGCCGGTCCCCTTCGGTCTGGGCGCTGCTCTTGCGCTTGGACTTGCGGGCATCCGCCGACTCGGCGGCCTTGGCATCGCCATTCTCGCGGATCTTGTGGGTCTTCTTCGCGCGACGAGTCTCCAGCTGGCCGTTGGCGCTGCTACCAGAGACAGAGGAGCCCCCGAACATCGACGAGACAAACCGTTCAGCACGGTTCTTCATGGAGATACCCAGGCCCGCGTCGGCTTGGTTCTCCTTCTCGTCGCGGCGGGTCCGCTTGATCGGGGATGAGGTTTCCTGATAGCGTCGGCGGGAAGAGTTCTCGTTCCCTTCTTCGTCGTCCAGCGACGGGGACCGGAGCATACGGTTCAGTCCTCCTGTCAGTCCGGAGTGGTTCAACATCGGGGTGCCGGGGTGGTTGACGACACTCGAGGGGGCATCCAGCATGGGCGTGTCAGTCTCGGTGTCGTGGTCCTCGGTGCGGCGCTTGCGCTTCTTCTCGCTCGTGGCACCCTCGGCCTTGGAGGCGCGGTCCTTCTTCTTCTTGGGCGCAGGGGTCATGAACTCCATGGACACGTTGGGGGCCTTGCGGTCGTAGGGGGACTGGTTGATCGGGCCCGAGCCGTACGAGAATCCATTCTCTTCATACGCGACGTCGTAGGTCTTGTTGTCGTCATCGCCATCCGTGTCAACGCGAGCCAGCGACTTGCTTGACTCGAAGACCGAAGGCGCGTTGGCGACCATCTTCATCTGTTCCTTAGCCTCGTTCACAGAAACCTTAGAGGCATTGGGGGTGCCCTCAGGGACAAGGTAGTCGAAGACATTTACCGGCTTGTCGGTCTTTCCTTCGGCGCGCGGGGTCTTCTCCACGCCAGCGGGAGGAGGGCTAGGCGCAGGTGGGGGAAGATTATCGGTGTCGGTGCCATCCTCGACGTAAGGTGCCCGGTGACCGTGGGGGGTCTGCTTCTGATTTTGGTTCTGTTGTTGGTTCTGGTTCTGGTTCTGGTTTTGTCGGCCGTTGTTCTGTCCTTTGCGTTGGTTCTTGGCCGGCTTCTCTCTGTACAGCGCGCCTTGGTACTTTTGCGCCTCAGACATGCAGGACTATCACGGTGAGTCAGTTTTAGTTCACATGAATCAACAAATGTATGGCAGATTGCGACAAGAGAGGAAAGCACGATGTCTTGCAGGTGTAGACGCAGCGACAAAGAGGAATAGTGGGCAATCCAGTCCACGAGGAGGTATTGAAAGGCAATCCCAAGGGAAAAGATGGTCGTACCGTGTGCGATCTGTAGCTAGTTCCCTGGAAATGCACCATACAGTCGATGCAGGTGTAGGAAGCGCCGCGACATTGGTTGCGATGGGGATCGAGCTTCTTCTTGGTGAGGACATCACCACACGCCTATTGGGATCGTCGCATATTAGCACACGCCGTTGTTCAGTGACCAGAATGGCCTTCTCCAAAGGGGATGAGAGTGGGCGGCGATGTTGCGCGACTCACCTCGCAAGAAAATGAAACCATCTTGTGAAGATCCGCTGGATTACACCGCGATTTGTTGGAGAAGTCTCGATATGCGACTTGAGACCTGCGCCGATATGAGAAGGAAAAAAAGAAGAGGAAAATTATAAGTCCGGTGGATGAAGTGGATGGGGATCCAGCAGAATTAAGCTAGACAGACTTTCGGAGGACCCGCAACGGACCTGAACAAGCCCAGAGGACCAGCCCACTCCCACTCCGTATTGTCGGTAGTCAGACTGTCGGTTACACTGAGGTTGTTGTCCGGGACAACGGGACAGACACGAGATTGTACTATGTAAGATGACAGAGGGAAGAAAAAGCAAAAGAGAATAGTTGAGCAATCGCGTGGGGACGATTCTGAAACCCTGTGGTTTGAAACTCGGGGACTTTGTGTCAGCTTTTGCGCCGTCCTCGTTCCCCGGCGCGTTCTCTTTTAAAAAAAGAAAAGTATGTGTAAATCATGTGTAGCAGAAAGTGCTGCGCCGCCAAAACAAAACCCGCTCAAATCAATGTCTGGAAGAGGCTAAGCCTGTTGGGGACTAGTCCCTCTTCGAGATGTTGGCTGCCTTTCCAATCAGGCACGGATCCTGCCTCCCCGCAGTGCAACACCAAATGTCATGGAATCGTTCAACAAGTATTCGGAGTACACTTCTGTAGTGGATGCAATGGCAAGACCGGCTCAAGCAATCTCTTCATCTCACCAGGACACCCATTGCAATGCATATCTTGACCAGTTGACCACTTGATCAAAGCAGGAGAAGGGGCGCACAGGGGGGGAATGTGGCGCTTGTGCATCGAACCACCAACACGGACTTGTCAGGAGACACCGTACATTTGCTGCTGGCCCTGCGCATCCGCCAGTCGCCGCTCACCTCGACCCTTCTTCGCAGCCCATCTGTCACTCTAGCCCCCGCAATCAAGGGGCCGACGCCTTCTGCCGGACAATAAAAGAAACCTATCCACCAAGATACGAGTGGCTTTCTTCTCGATTGTGCTCAAAACCTCCCCTCTCATAGGATCGGGGCGCAGTGATCGTCGGTATGCAGCGCAATAAACTTCCAGTCCGAGGTCGAAAGCTACAACTTTGCTTCTTAAGCGACAGGACATCACGAAGGGCTAGCTATATATAGCGCTCAGCGCCAAAACGAGGGCTTGAAGCATATGGCATTTATGATGTTGCGACGCTGGTTTCAGCCTTGTCACCATCTTAAATGGATACTGTTGCTTGTCGCTGTCTGGAAAACTACACATCTGGAGTCAATGCTTCCCACGGGCTCGGGAGAAATTCCTCCGGGAGTCCATGTGGGAGCTGAGATGCACAGTACTTTTGCGCTGAATGGTCAGCCGCGGCCGGCATGAGGGTTCCACTCTCGTCATGCGCACCATGGTGCATGCTTCACACCCTTTCATGCAGCTTCCACACCATCTATCCAGGCCTGCCTTCTACAGTGTAGAGCATCGGTGAGCCCTCACTAAACAGTTCTCATGTGAGATTTGGGGGTGCCTTCGCAAGAGCCATGCGCCCATGTCAGGGCAGCAATGCACAATCAGGATTCAGACGACCCATGACTGGTTCGTCCAGCAGTAGAGGACACAAAGACGTCATCCCTCCGGTTTGCCGTCTACCTCGCATGCGATATTAAACCTGTGGTACATTTAGTGCCCAAGGCTTTTAGGCGACGTCTTCTCGGCAAGTAGTTACAGTCAAGCCACCACTACTATGAATCGCAACCCGGATCGAACTTGAGGCCCTTGTGCAAGATGAAGCTCCAGGGCCGTGGTATGTAGGTATCTTGAAGATGAATGTTGTAATGGTATATACAACTGAAACTACCGTGCACGAACCGGCTCAGTGCACCCAGCGATCCGGCACTGGCGGAGAGTATGTATAATGTGAAAGAAAGAGAATAAGTCACAAGGGAGTGGAATGGGTCAGAGATGTCGAGATAAAAGCGCGCAGCGTTCAACCTCGAGTAGTCCTATAGTGGGATGTGATCAGCAAGGTATCCATGATCATGGGACACGAGGAGAGCACGAACGGTTCCCTGTTGATCTCGACCAGCGGCAGTGCGTCGTCATTATCGGCCTCCCTCCGCGCACTGGGCAGATCCTTGTTTGTGGTCAGATCCTCATCCTCGTCCTCTTCGTCTTTCGCACAGCCGCAGTCATAGAAATCGCCGATATTGTTGCAGTCGAATTCAGGTTTCTCGAGCATGATGTTCACCTCGTTGTGGATGAAGCAGCCCCATCCAGCAGCCGCATTGCGCGACGAGACCTGCGGGGGATACTTTTTCAAATGACCTTGGAAGTGCGAGGCGCATTCGCCACTAGGAAGAGACCCCAGTCAGTATGCAGCAATAATGGAGGTGCAAGAGGGCGACGATACCATGGATAGAGTCGCGCAAAGAGATAGATAAAAGAGCGTAAGGTTTCCTGCTGCTCCTCGGTCGGATCTTCGGGATACCGAGCCAGCATGGTATGGAAGTATTTCCAGGTCGCACGGCCTAATTCCGCCCTACAGTTTCCGACAACAATCCTTTTAGCATGATGACAGATTCCAAAACAGAGATTCATTTGATTCTCACTTTGCCGTCGCATTCCCAAGCTTGGGCATCACCACCTCCCCTTTGATCAGATCATCTTTGGACACCACGGCCGGCGCGGATTTGTCGAGGTGGCCAGGAGCCCGAGTGGCGGGACTCGGCGGACCTTGAGGTTGGATCAAGAAGAGAAAGATTAAAAAGATAGTGATGCATGCGCCGGCAAGGAGCTGCCGGGTAATCTGGCGGTGTGCCATCGTGGAGTGGCTGATCTATAGGACGCCCACGTTCTCCGTGAGGAAGACAGATCGCCCAACTGGCACTCTCTAAAGGGGCGTGGGATGATTGACGGTGGATTGACAATGGGCCCGGCCAGGCTGACCGCCTCCCACGTGGCAGAATCAATACTCAATAGCTTCACCGCCTAGTGAATCGCTGTGTGTCCATTGTACGGAGTACATAGTAAGAGGTTATGTACAGTATTCCCTAAGGAAGGACGCTGATGTAGTAATACCTTCAACCTAGTAGAGTACTCTGTTCCTTGATAGTTCCAATGATCTGAGCATGAATTGTAAACATATGACTTTACTAAGTCAAGTGGCTCAGGGAGATGGTATGTTCGAGGGCCTGACCTGCGGATGCTTCCCGAGGCCGAGGTGATGTCGAAGCGCCCAGCAGGGCCCGTATCTCCACCTTTATAAGCACTTCTCAACTACTAGGTATAGGTAGCTGAAAGCCTATTCTTAACTCAGCCTTCCTGGCCATCCAGACTACAACTCACCAAGACTTTCACGTGCTGTCTACACACCATAGGACATGGAAGAGAGCCCCAGAATCGCGAGTGATTGGTTGAAACCGACAGAATAATTCATCAACCATTTTCGTTGAATTTGGAGCAATGATTTCGACTCACTGTGAGTTGTGATTGGCGTAGCCAGGGAGGGTACTTAGGTTGTGCGACTTGATTCTGGAACAACCTCCGCGGGGACAAATAGGACCCGGTTTGCTTCGTGCTCTGGTGGCACCTTGTTGGGAGGTTTTTCGTCGATTTTGAGCATCTTGAGTGCCTTCAAGCGCATTCCGCTGAAGCCCTTGGTTGCGAGTGCATTCAGAATTCCCGCGAAGGTGGTAGGCCTGGTGATTTCAGACAAATGATCTTCAAGCATGAAATCTCCCCAGTAGTAACGCCCGCCTGAGGTAATGATATAGTCCATATCCTTGGTACCTAACAGAACAACCTTAGCGTCCACGATGCCGAAGCATCGGGACCGGTAGGCTTCCAAGCTGTTGTGGTCGAAATAGAGCTCGAGGTGGTGTGGGTCATTGGTCCAGCCTTCGGGAATGGCTTCGGACTAGATTCCATCAGAATGGACAGGAGGATAAACAGAGATCACGCAGGTGCCGACAGTACACTTCCCTCGCTTTGTACTACGGGTATGTTATAGCTTGCGACTTACTTGATGGTCCATCTCACTGGGCTTGTGCAGATACTACTCTCGAGGGAGCCAGTTGCGTAATGGTGAAATGTTGGACCGATCTGAGGGCGAGTAGTCAAGGCACTGACAGTGGTAGTACTTGCTACCTAGGTATACAGTACTGCGGGGAAGGGAGGAGCACAAGGCAGACAACAGGGGAAACCATCGAAAGGCCGCGGAGGGCGGAACAGGCAACTTTTTTATGCTTTTTTAGTTATGGAAGCAACATGAATAATGACTGTCGCTTTTCATTGATATCGATCGGTTTCCGGGGTTGATCTCCTCGGTGATGAATTCCAGCGATTCATTGCTGCTTATCGCTTATCGGGAGTGGGCCGTAAATTAGCTGTCAACATTTAGTTACAGTAAAGCTTCTACATTATTGTCGCCTGATATTCGAGGCATCAGGAGAGATAGCTGAGTCAGCAGGAACTGCCGAGTTTCGCGATCTGCGCGGCCGCCCACAGCCCAAAAGTTTTCTGCCGATTTCCGGCACCTGAACGCCTGGTTCACCACGTTCGCTGCACCCCTCCTTCTCTCCCCGAGTCGCCTTTGCATGTGTTAACGGGTCCCACGGTATTTCATCGGGCGTTATTGGAATTATACTCTGATGGATTTGGAGTACCGAGGGATTCTCGCGCCGAATGGGTTGGCTACACATGCCTCGCTCTTAACGCCTCCGGCCACCACCAGCGACCTTCGGAACAATCTTAGGCTTCCCCGGCCGATGACAGCTTTTGATTTCTCCCCCAGACCCTCGGAACCTGGCGCCATGAACAAGATCCCCGCCGTCCCGAGCAAACGGCGGGGTGGTTGTAGGAAGGCCTGTAATGAGTGTAAGCAGCAGAAGGTAAGTTAGTCTGTCTGGCTATACCTGTCATATCGCATTCCATCCTGCATTCCATTCGGACCCATCGACCAGCTGTGCATATTGATGTATCCGTTCAAAAAATTCAACATCGTCTAAAGGATATTGTTCACTGGATATTGCTTACTGCGCTTCACCCTTCTCGTGCCCTCTATATAGACAAACTGGCTGAACATAGGCTTACCCGACCCCGCAGCTTCGGTGTGATATTGTGCAAACGCCCGCTGACGCATGCTCACGCTGCCGGCGGCTCCAAATAGAATGCAAGGTTGAGCCCACTTTCAAACGGATCTCCAAACGCCGGTAAGGCCTTCCGAGCATGTCTTACCTATGTTCATCTCTTGGCTGAACACTAGCTGTCTAGGCGCAATGCCGAAATGGAAAAAGAAATTGCGGATCTCCGCCGTCGGCTTGCCAGTGGAGAGCATCCCCAGCCCGGGGAGGCTAACGCCAGTGACGAGCTGTCTCAATGTTCGGAGGATGTGTTCTGTTCTCCAGATGCCACTGTTGGCATCAAAGGACGGCCGTTGTCGGCTCCACTGGACCCGCAACCCATCGCTACTCCGCTGACCATCCATCGAGATGCCTCCATCTTGTCCCAGGATGACAATCCGTGGATATTAGAGGACGTCTCGCTATCACGAGCCCGAGTAGCACGGTTGTTTGACCAGTACGATTCTCTCCCTGTGCATGCAGTAGCATCTTGGACAAAGTTACTTATGATTGGCAAGGTTTTTCAAATATTATCATCCCTTTCTTCCTCTTTTGAATCCACAGAAGCCCCCAGACGAATATATGCGTCGTTGTCCATTGCAGGCATGGACGATCATCTGTGTTGCTAGTCGACGAGCACCTTCTGAGCCGGGTCTCCTCAGCGCACTCTCCGGGCCGTTTAGTCGGCTGCTCTGGTCCACCATTACTGGTGTACCACAAGACTACCGTGTGGTCAAGGCACTCTGCCTCCTCTGCACCTGGCCGTTGCCAACAACCAGCCAACGGACCGATGCTACCTTTATGCTCAGCGGACTGATGATGCAGATATCCATGCAATTGGGGCTACATCGTCCGGTTCAAGCTGAGGAGTTCACAACCTTCCGCATGGAAGTACAAGGGGAAGCTGTCAAAGATCGCTTGCAGACATGGGTTATTTGTAATATTGTAGCCCAAAAGTAAGTGGCTTTCAAGCCTGCCGCCGGATCCAACTATTGACTCTATTTGTCCAGTGTCGCTACCGGCTACGGGCAGCCTCCGTCAACTATTTACGATTGGGCCCTAGAGCCCGCTTCACTGCGAGACGCCGATTACCACCCTTCGCATGACTTGATGACTCGGCTCAGAATCGAAAAGTTCTGTGACCGGGTCACAAAAGCATTGTACAGCAGCAAACCTGACCCTGCCGAGTTCATCAGTTCGGAGAAGCTGCTGATTGTACAGCTTCTCGAGAATGAATTGAGAGATATGGAAGTCGACTTTGGCCGGGACATTTCCAGTATGTCATGCATGGCCCGGTTCGCCTTTGCTGAGTTCGAACTAATTCTCCAGACATCAACATGATCCACCTGCGAGCGGCCGAACTGCACCTACGGTATTTCGTATTCCTGGGCTCTAACGCCCGAAGCGACGACCTAACAAAGCTGTTCATCGCAACCACTTCCTTCCTCGGACGAGTACTCGATCTCGAGACCTCACCCGGCGAGCTTATCGGCCACGCTCCCAACTACATCCTACAAATGATCGTCTCAGCCGCTTTCGCGCTCATGAAGCTCTTGAAGAGCGATTTCCGTCGCCACATCGACTTTGAACACGGAAAGCTTCTCTTCAACGGAGCCATCTCGGCTATCCGCCGCATCAGCGTCATGGACCACGACCGTCCCGTCCGCCTGGCCGATATCCTGGCGCAGATGTGGAACGCAGGCAGTCCAGAAGATCCCGCCGGTGGTGACGCATTGCAGCTCAAGATCCGTTGTCGCATGAGCATGAGCCATGTTTACGATACCGTGTGGCGGTGGCGCCAGCGATTCCGCCCGATGAAGAGCGTGGAGGACACGCAAGGTATGTTTTTGCTGCTTCCTCGGATTTACAGGGGCAATGAGATTGATATGTCGCAGCTACCATGGCCAATCCCAATGTGGCTCCCCTCACTGGCCCTCTCTCACGGCCGCAGGACGAGTCTTTGCAGAGCACAAACCTGATATACACTCCAAACTTCGATCAAGGCGCCTTCATCAGCGAGGCAGGCTTCTCCGAGGTATTCGATTCCCTGAATTGGGTTTTTGATGGGATTCCGGACTCCTTTGTGGCGCCCCCAATTCTATGAACAATGCACGCACAGCCTTCTGAACTGCGAGCACTGTTGACTTAAAAGCCGTGTTTCCCTATAAAATGTACAGAGCACCACCATACAGCATAGCAACCACTTATGACCATTCTTTTATCATAATATACCCGGAGGGCACATCAATTGAAATTACGACAAAGTTGGTACCATTTCCACTTCAACATAGCCACGACTGTAGCGGAGGGTGATGACTTGTTATATGGATTCTGTCGGCGTCCCTGAGGCCTCGATAGCCAGGCTGCTCGCGGCCATGCATATTGATAGTTCCTCTCAAGTAGCCTCACGTAGCTGAATTCGTCCACCATCCCACGTCTTTGACAGGCTCATTTGTCCGCGAACATGGGACTCATCGCCTAAGTGATAGTGATAATCGTACAGGGCATATGGTGAATGTAGAGGATTATTTACTAGAGCTACATAATACTTCGTACTCGGGAACTTAGAACTACAATTACCCCCTCGAATCAGTGAATTAAATCCATTTATGTGAGAGCGGTTATTGTGTATTTTATTGCTGGATCGCAAATATCCATGTGAATATATGCCTTGTGATCCAGGCAACTATGAGCGTACCCTGACGATTCACCCGGAAGTGTAGTCCGGGGTATTCATAGACACCAATCTTTAGCAACTGCCCACCCTATCCTACATTGCTTCAACTCCAATCTACTTCCTGTCATCATGATCTACCAATATGGTGAAGACTCGAGTAAGTAATTAACCATCCTAATAGTATATGTCAATAGTCTACAACAGAATGGGGAATGGCACACACAGTTCATCCTGAGATCCTGTCACCTAGGTTTATTTCTTCCCTCTCTCATGCCTCGAAGCAGTTATCCTTGGACCAAGTTATACCTCCCTAGAATAATCCCACCTGCTTTTCGTTCTGGCTCAACACCAATATTCTTTCTTTATCTGTGTCCTCGGTCACATTTTGTTCAGTTTGCGAGCCAAAGCTGACAGCCGTCAGTCCCAAACAAGTCGCGAAGAGCCAGCCGCACAGCCTGAATCTCGATATCGGGGGCACTATGATAACCAAGACGGCCCAGGACTTTCTGCCGAGGACATCCCCGAAGACTGGACAAATGACCCCAAACTCTTGGATATTTACGATGATCCTAAATGTCAAGACGCCGATCTGGCCCGCTGCTGCGGAATCCAAGATCCCCGAATGGTTTTGATGGGCACTCCCGAGTCGGGAGAGATGCAGTATATTATGGCTTTTAAGGGCAAGTACTACTGGGGCCATTTCGAGCTTCTTCATCTGGAAGAGATCACCAGGCCCAAGACGTTGTCAGGAATAGTCCATGCCCTTCGTGATAAGGGATTCAGGGGCCTCCGTATGAAGACCCTAAAGCCGGTGTGGACCCCTAGTGATGAGGAGGATACACGGTCTGCCACAAGCGAAGGGCCCAATCTGTTTGTTCCGGTTGACCCCGATGCGCCTTGATGCACCATGTACTTTCGACAAGAGCGGTTCACGACTCGAGGAATAGCAATGCTTAGTATCCATTTAGCCGATGGTTTGCTCGAATGATGGCATATTTTGTCAAATTCGCGAAGTGTCTTCTCCTCTACCCAGGCTTAGCATTCATGGCAGCCTCGTAAGAAGCACATGGAATCTAAGGCATTCTCGAGCACATCTAACCATGGCTGAACAAATTCTTCCATGGCTGAATGGCGACAGGGCCTACGCGTCTCCTTGCGAACAGATTATTGCGTGCCTCGACCAGATCGTTACGTGCCTCAAGGACGTCGTAGACAAGTCCGCGCAGTACGGGGTCCCAGGGCACTACAGGCCCATCCTCCTTCAGATGAACATGGACATAGTGCGCCTCCAGTAAGCTTTGTGTCTCTGTGAAAGCGATTGTGTCTATAGCTAAGCGATACGAAAGCTCTCCAGATGGCGGCGATTGCGTCGCACCAGCTCTACCGCAGAATGTCGACCGAGAAGATGACCCCCGTTGGCCAGCTGCTCGAGCAGCATTCCGGCTCAAAGAATTTGAACACGATGGGCTCAGTTATTGGGCACTATCAGACCTGCTAGGGCTCTTTCTGAGCAAGCTGGGCCCCGTATGCAACCACCGCCGGCGGGCGGTATCAATGAAGTGATCTCATGTTGGAGGATCATCTATCTGAGATCACCGGGCTTGCAAACGTCCAATAATCCTGGAAGCACTTGCAACCAAGGGCTTCAGAGGATTGCGCATGAAGACCCTCCAAATGGTCAGAATTGACGAACAAGCTCCCAGTCAGATGCGCGAGACAACTCGAAATGTTGTGCGGAGGCATATCCCTTCTGTAAACTCTTAAGGTCAGTGCCTCCAAGTCTACACGACACCACAAACTTGTGACTAACTTATCTTGACTATGGATTAGGGGCAAACCCAAAGAAGGGGCAGTGAGGGCGTGTGAGGGTTGGCGCTTTGCAGCGAATGTATATATTTTACGCCTGCCTACGAAAACCTATTGTCCTCGGAGATTCGAAGGAGCATTTGGGACCCGTGTCCAATTGCGAGGTCCTTATCAATATCCACCAAGGCGATTTCCGTCTCTGGAACGGATGCAAGGGCGTCTCGCCTCTGTTTATCGAGGTGGATGCCGAAAGTTCTTTGCGGACAATCTCTTCGGAGCATTCCTTAGCGGGTGTGGTGGTGGATCAGGAACAACGGCCTGTCTATAGAGCTGTTCAAGAGCTGATCTATGCAGCTACTTGATGGTCTATCTATGTACATACTCGAGTACCTTCTTCAAGTGCCCATTCAAGTACCTATTCAAGTACCTGGTGAAGGCCATATTTGCATAATCGTTGTTCTACCCGCTTAGCTGATGCCTGAACATTAAGGCATATACATGACTGTTCGAGAGCGAAGTGGTATGACATCATAGCTCTGATCATGACGTGTTGACCCAAGCCCTGGATCCGCCCTGGATCCATCCACTGCATCAGTCAGGGACTGCCAAGTTTGTAGTCTAAAGTACATCATCAGGCACATCGACCCATATTCTTTGTCCGATCACACACTAATCCCAAAACAGCGGACTTTATGGAGAGATCTCCAGGTTCATCTCCGACCGAGTCCCCAGTCACTGATGGAACTTGAACTATGCAGGGCCTTCCGCATTCGGCATCCCTCCCTGTATCCCCCGCCCCCGCCCCCGCCCCAACCCCCCGAGGAATGCTGCCCATGCCCGCATCCATAGAGGCCAAGTCTCCCTTTACCAAAGTCAAAACGTTTGCAGTCAACGACTTATCTAAGATGAAGTTCGAGTGCAACTTGTCCTGCGCATCCCATCATGCAAATGTCTTTCTCTTGCCATCTCCCCATGTTTCGCCGCGGCCTCTCCGACAACCCACCACCTAGCTAGCACCAAAGATTCAGTGTCCGTTCGAGTCGACAGGATGATCCGCGGAAGAACACAGATCTCACGGATTGTGATTGCCGCCCTATTCAGCTATGGGCTCTTAATCTTCTTGTTCAGTCAGTCGGCGCGGAGGTTTTGGGCCACGGATGGAGTAGATATGGCCCGGAGTTACTTCGAAGACCAGGCTTTCGAGCACATCAAGAACGAAACGCTGGGGGTGCGTTCGGTCCACATACCCAGATTGAAGGCTTCGATGCTAACGAGTCTCTATCTAGTTCGAACACATCTTCGCGATCGGGTTGAAGGAACGAACGGACAAACGCGATTTCCTCACATTAGCTGCCTCGATGGCGGGCTTTCAGGTCGAATGGCTGGACGGGGTGCGACCGACGGAGATCAATCAGAAGTCCTTACCAAACGTGAGTTTCTTTCTAGACCACCCCCGTATGAAGATCTGGAATTGATGCATATTGTGACATCTAGAAAAATAGCCTCAAGCCATCCGAAATCGGCTGCTGGCGCGCACATATGAACGCACTCACCAAGTACGGCATCTCCTTCCCCCCCCCCCCCGCCGTGCCCTGGTTCGCTTCTCCGCCTGCGAATGGTCGTGACGAGGACGGTTGGGCAAACCGCAATACTCTCCCCCCCCCCCCCCCCCCCCCCCCCCCCCCCCCACGGCTCCGGAGCTAGCAATAATGAGCACAGCTAACAAACCACCTCCGACAGAGTGGTCGAGAACTCGTACTCCACTGCCCTCATCCTCGAAGACGACGCGGACTGGGACATCTTTATCAAGCAGCAACTGCGGGAGTTCGCGCGCGGGGTGCGGGCGCTGACGGGCAACACGCACGGGTCGCGGCAGGCGCCCTACGGGACCAACTGGGACGTGCTCTGGATCGGCGGGTGCGCGTCAGCGGCCAAGGCCAACGAGACGCAGTTTTTCGCCATTCCGCAAGACCCGACGGCGCCCAGCATCGATCACCGTGGCACCTGGGGCGGACCGCTCAAGGAGTGGAAGACGCAGTACCCGGAGTTCCCGGAGACGTCGACGCGGTTCGTCTACCGGGCGGAGTACGGGTGCTGCACGTACGGGTACGCGGTGACCAAGCGCGGGGCGGAGCGGATCCTGGCGGCCCTCGCCGTCGACCGCATCGTCGCCGCCGTCGACAACTCCATGGGCGACCTGTGCGGCGGCAAGGACGGCCGCCCTCAGATCGAATGCTTCGCCCCCTTCCCCAACCTCGTCGGCACCTACCGGGCGGCGGGCCCCGCCTCCAAGGACTCGGACATCCACAATGGCACCGACGAGTGGCACGAGGCCCAGGCCTGGAACCTGATGTATAGCACCCGGTTGAATATTCATAACCTGGTCGCCGGGAAGGATACCGTATACGCGCAGTACGAAGAGAAGTTCCCGTGGTCCAAGTGGAAGCTGAGTCGGAAGAATTTCCACTATCCGCAAGGGTACCTGGTGCATTAATTCGTTGCGAAGCTACGGAGTCCACTGAGGGAGTACATTGACTGTTCGGGTGGTGCTAGTGGTGGAGGTGGTGGACGCACAGCGGTCGCATCATCTGTACATTATTAATCGCATTTTGTTCATTCATTAGCATTGTTGTTGTTAGCCTTGTCTACAGAGTACTTGTTGTAGTTATCGGGAGTTAAAGTTACTCATAGTACTAAAATTTAGCGTAGGAAATAAGACCGAGTAAACCCGAAATTGGAGTCCTTGCAGGCCGGCTTGGCGGGACTTGAATGTCCAGGCCGCACGTCGCTCAGTGAGTCAGTCCGAGGTCCAGTCCCCCTCCCGCCCTTCCGAAACTTGACTGGCTATGCGCATCCACCGTTGAGAACCTGGAATGAGGAATGTGTATTGCTGGCGCTAGTAGCATCTTGAAGGATCGCTCCCGTCTACTCCGTACCACGTACTACATACTCACATAATATGTCTGTACTACACCACTGGTGCACCCATCTATCCATCCATCGCTTCACCACCTCTTCCCTCTCGCAGGAGCATATCCAGAGGAAATCGAGGAAAAGAACGGGGCAGATACGTGTGGCCTCTCCGCTCCGTTGGCCGAAAACCTCTTTACCAAGGTCCCAATCAACTTGAATATGGAGAACGGCTCCCGGCATGTCGCACGTCGAAATCGAACTGGCCCATGAAAACTTCCCGGATACATTAGGCACCTTCCATTTCTGATGTGCAAAAACTCGGGACTATTTTCCTGGAGCTAGAACTAGGTATACTCCGTACTCCGTACTTACTAAGTGACCGGTAGTCGATCCCAAAGCGGGCTAGCCTGAATCCAACTCATAACAACTTGAAATGATTTGCGGTGGTTTTTGCCTGCCTCGGCGGTGAACAGGGGAATTTTCCTGGCGGGAAAGGAGGTGGGGGGGAAGAAATGCAGTGCTGTATCAGACCAGTCGCCATCCAATTTCCAAGTCAAAACGTCGGACATTCTTTCGTCGAGGGTTTTTCTGAAGAGCAATTGTTGAGACTTCTAGTACTGAGATAGCTCCTACTGGCAGATTAAGTGTGTACACTCTGAAAAAGACCGAAAGAAAGAGCGAGTCTCAACCTTGATATAATGGGGGCCAATGTTCTAGATGCGTTCACCTGGCCCGCATCGACCAGATGGGCCAATTGGAGACAGCATTGGGGGTCTAGTGGGGTGGGCATCGGTCGATTGTTCCTGAGCCCTACATTCGCGAAAACTTTCGCTGCACAGCTTCATCCACTGCTCCTCTCCCTCAGTCCTGCCTCTAGTCAGCAGCATGATAGGTAAAATAGAAGAGAAAGATACTGTGACGAAGCCGTAAGGTGGCATCCAGAATGGACCGAATCCGCCATCGATTGGCATGCCAGCCCGGCTGATAGCACAGTACTTTGAACTCCGTACTGCGCTACGCTGCAGTGCCCATGTCGGATGACCCCAACGGAGGGTGCCAGTCAACATTAACTGAGGTTTCCATGTTTCCATACTTTCCATACTTTTCCATACTTTGACCACCACTTAGCTTCTTCGGCTCAGGTAATCGAGGGCTCACACTAGATTCGACTTGCAGCGACTGATTGGTGGCAGTGGCTGCCGTAGAGTGAATCGACCTCCCCGCGACCAAATCTGATCAATCAGAAGCCTCAATCGAGGAATCTGATTGCTCGTCAGAGGGATTGATGAATAATCGGTGATCCGGTGGAGCCACCAGGCTCAGTCAGTGCCAGTGCCAGTCCGACGACAACAACAATCAGGGCCAAGTCAAGACTTGACTGAACTCCCACCCCCCCAGCCCAGCCCGGACAAGCAAGCCCAAGCAAGCCCAAGCAAGCCCAAGCAAGCCACAAACACCGCCGCTGGGTATGATATCATCCATTCCCCTTCACCCCCTGGTCCATGGTCCATAGTTAGTCTACCTTTCAGACCTCGATCGTTTGTTAAGGGCTCGTTTGGCTGCGAGAAAATATGATCATTTTTTTTCTCTTTCCTGCATAGCAAATCCAAGTGAATTGAGGCCATCCCAGAATGCCAGAGACGTCTCCTGAAGCAGATGCGCATCCCGATCACCAACCACCAGAGACTGCCGCGAATTCGAGCTCGACAGATCTTTGCCTCAGTGGCCCTGGGAGGGTCTACCCTCTGCGATCGATTATTGCCCCGACGCACCCTTTAGCACTACCCTACCGATCCTCTTCAACGTCGAGCAGTTCACCACATGCTCACAGCCTGTGCAACGAAAAACCTGAGTTGGAGGACCGGGATGAGCAACCGCCCGTTAGTCAGCCGAGCACCCCGCCCGAGCAACGATTCTTGTCATGTGACTCTCCAAAGCAACAACTACAACATCAACAATCACCACCATATTATCATCATCATCAGCAGCAGCAGCAGCAGATCGACGGGACTGGATCAATAACCCCTACCAAATTATTTGACCATGCCTCAGGCTCCGAAGGACTAGACCATCTGAATCTTGAGAATCTCGGCTCACTCACTCCCTCATCCTCACACCGAAGATATGACCCACAGGACTCCGACGAGGACAGCCTCGCAACCACCAGCACCACCAAGACCCTCCAGGCGTGCGAGGATGAGCCGATACACAGACCTGGGGCCGTGCAATGCTTTGGGGCGTTGGTGGTCTTAGAACAGGTGGATGAGGGGACGTTTATGGTGCAGTTGGCCAGTGAGAACTCCGAGGCTATCATCGGGCATTCGCCGCAGAACCTATTCACCTTGAACAGTTTCTCGGATCTGTTGCGCAACGACCAGGATGGGATTCTCCGCGATCATGTGCAATTAACCGAGGACGACCAGTGGAGTCCGGCCGTGGACGGGCCGGAGATCTTCAAATTATCCATCAACGACCGACACGGGCATCCCCAGCGGTTCTGGTCGGCCGTTCACCGCAACCCAGCGCACTGGCACCTGATTATCTGCGAGTTCGAGAGCGAGATTGATCGTCTCAACCCAGTCAACACAGCCGGTCAGACTCTGCCGGCCAAACCTACCGATATCCTGGGATTCGAGCCCACCGCCGATCAAATAGCAAGCAGCACCGTCAAGATCAGCCAACCGTTACGGTTGCTTCGAAACAGACGCAGGAAGCCGGGCGAGATGGCTTCGATGGAAGTCCTCAACATCATTAGCAAGGTCCAAGATCAGCTGGGTAGGACGCAAGACCCGGATACGCTGCTGAATGTCTCCATCGGGCTGATCAAGGAGCTGACTGGTTACCACCGCGTGATGATCTATCAGTTTGACCACGAGAATAACGGGAATGTTGTCGCAGAACTGGCCGATCCACGATTCTCCAAGGACATCTTCAAAGGACTCTCGTTTCCGGCCGCGGACATCCCCCAGCAGGCCCGGGATCTCTACAAGAAGAGCAAGGTCCGGCTTCTGTACAATCGCGATCACATCAACTCCCCTCTAGTATCGCGAGACCTTGAGCATGCACAGGCTCCGCTGGATATGACCTATGCATTCCTGCGGGCGATGTCACCTTATCATCTAAAGTATCTAGCTCGGATGTGTGTCCGCTCCTCGATGTCTATCAGTATCAACGATCACGAAGATCTCTGGGGGTTGATTATATGTCATTCCTACGGAGAGCACGGCATGAGAGTCCCCTTTCCGGTCATACGCCTGACCAGGTTGATTGGCGATTCGGTGTATCAGAATATCAAGCGACTCTCCTGTATGTCGCACCTGGAGGCCAGCAGTCCCGCCAACCAGGCGGCTGCTTCCGAGATCCTGAAACAGGACAGCCACACATCCGAAGCGTTACTTAAACTGTTCGATGCAGATTTCGCAGCTCTTTCTATCCGAGGACGAACGAGTATACTCGGCGAGTCAATCGACTTCCAAGAAATCCTCGCTGTGGTCGAATATTTCCGGTCGAAGAAGCTTGACTCTGTCGTGGCTTCTAACTATGTCATACGAGATTTCCCTGACTTGCACTTTCCTCCTGGCATTCATGCCGTCTCAGGTGTCATGTATGCGCCTCTCTCCCTGCACAAGGAGAATTTCATCGTCTTCTTCCGCCGTACGCAGATGAAAGATATCCGATGGGGTGGAAACCCATATGCAAAGCCGCCCATGCAGCCTCGCAAGGATTTTCGGGTCTGGCGAGAGACAATCGTGGACCGGTCTCGGGAGTGGACTACGTCGCAGACCGATAATGCAGCTGTCTTGGGTATGGTCGGCTCTCAAGTGTCGAGCGACTGGCGAACGGAAACGAAATCCCCTTCGTCGTCTAGCCAGCATGCCAAGTCAGGCGATGAAATCCGAAACACTCTTAACACGATCATGAAGAACCTTGGGGTGGTTCTGGGAGGCTCATTTGACTCCGAATTCCAAGACAGCATCACCCGTTCCTATTCTGCCTCCAAATCCCTCCTCTACGTGATCAACGACCTCCTAGACCTCACGAAGGACGAAGAAGGATACAACCTTATCAAAGACGAAGCGTTCGATATTTCATCCTGCTTTCATGAAGCCACCAAGATGTTCGAGGCCGAAGCACGGCGCAAAGGGCTTTTTTACAAAGTCATCCATGAACCGGGTATCCCGAAGGGCGTGCTCGGTGATGAGCGGCGCGTGCGCCAGGTGATCTCGAACCTCATCTCCAACGCCATTCAGCATACCTCCGAGGGAGGGATCACCGTCGAGATGTGGCGGGACACGGTCACCCCTGCGCCGGGGCGGGCTATCATCAACATCACCGTGGTCGATACCGGGTGTGGCATGTCGTCGGACAAACTCGACATGCTTTTCTGCGAGCTGGAGGAAATCTCGATGGAGCAGAAGAACGGCGGTACAACCGAAGAAAGCTCGACCGCGCTGCAACCGCACAAGAAACATGTTCTGGGAGTGGGACTTGCCTTGGTTTCGCGGATTGTCCGCAACTGCTATGGGCAGCTTGTGGTTCATTCCGAAGAAGGCAAGGGCAGTCGATTCGCAATATCCCTTCAGTTCGATACCGGGTAGTACATGCACCTGGATCGAACTCCAACCTCTACATTACAATCTGCCTCGAGCTGTGACGGGCTTTCTAATTTCTTCTTTGCTTGGATTTCGGCTAGCGCATATGAATTAGCCTGTGGTTTTTCTTCCTCTTCTTGTCCGACGCAGAGGGCGAAACGCCCTGGAGATTATCCGATTTGGTCTTCTTCACGCCCTTGTCCTACTGCTCTGTATATGCATATATATCTTCTTTTTTTTTGGTCTTTCTGGGATCTCTTCATTGTATTAACACACAGTCGATAGCGTTCGAGCAGGCCATTTTGTTTTCCTTTCTGGAAGAATTTCCTTTACTTCCAGGGTTTCTTTTCTTTCTCCCGGGTTCTGGAATTCTGGGAAGAATGGATGATGACGATATTGATGACATTGATGGTCTTTGATCAGGTCGCGGCAGAACTGCCTGCCCTACCTGGATTCTTTTCATATTGTGGGTTAAAATAGACACGAATTCCCCGAGAATATCAGGATTGTTTTCCTTTGCTACGGTCTTGCTATCGAAACTGAAACTATACCCGATACACTACCACCTCATAAGTCTGACGGATTCTTGCACCGACAATCTAGGTGGGTGATTGGTTGAGCAGCTCAAAGCGTCTACCATGGGGTTTCCTGCCAATGCTATGAGGTCCAAGGTTTAAAGCTTACCGTCAGCGCTTCCCTGGGTTTTGACAGCTGTCTAAGTTCTCTATCCACTGGCACAGTGATCAAGGCTTGACTTTTCAGCTTACAAGAGCATTGTATGTCTACGAATCGGAATCTGATGAATGAGTGAGACTTTCGATTGAGTTGTTCAGGTTTCGCAATTGAGCTGAGTAATCCCCTTACCTACAGTAGCATTGGTTGGCTAACTTCTTGATTGCCTCGATGGAATATTCTTCCATCTTCTAGTTAACATGTTTGTTCTGTACAGAACGTTGGCCGCTTTTCGCTTCCGTGCAACATAGATTGCACCAGGAACCTGACTAGTTTCATGAGAATTGAACATGATACGCATTCATCACCGTCGGAAGCCCGAGTGGGGATGTGTACCACGCACATGCAGCTGTCCCACGCGGACAAAATCCCAGACAGGTCTAAGACAAGGTATGAGACATGACAGCAGATCTCTATCTCCATTGAGACAAAGTCTAAGATGTGTTTCGAAGTCAAGGTCACGCGCCAGGGCCAGTTGTATCTGCCCACCAGTTGAATCATTCGATTCAATATCACGCATGGCACGTGAGTCAAGCAATAAGCACTAAGCGCCTGCTATACATTAGTGAATTTAGCTGCGACACTAAGGAACAACAGCCGTCAGAGAATAGGGTCAGTACATAAAGGACGACCTGGTTGATTGCAATGCAGCGCAACAAATCATAAGAAATCCACCTTTGTTCGAAAACCCACGATGAGCGCCCCAACCGCCCACGCCCTCCCAACCTTCGACATCACCGCAGAAGGCCTCGCAGAAGAAGCCGCAGATCTGATCTCGTATCTCGAATACTCCGCCGACAAACTAGTCGCCTCTG